TTGTTTATCCTTGTGAGGTTAATATTTTTCACTCACACCATTCTTTCCCTCTTTGTATTCATAGCTGCTCATTGACCCCCATTGCTTTTGTAGGTTGCAATGAATTGACACACTGAACTTCAGCATCCCCCCAAAAAATCCTACACCACCAAGGGGCTAATATATATACAACTCATTGTCCAGGTATGGCTGTCCTGCATGACTCTTCCATGTAGGCAATCCCGGCTGCCTCATTAAGTAGTTGAGTGATAGGGTTCCTCTCTCGAAAGATCTCCTTCCTCTATAGTGGCAGGTGTAGTTGGAGTCACCCACATCTCTTCCACCCTTCCTGTGAACTTGCACTCAGACTTTGCAGACTTCCAGCACTAACAAAATCTTTGACTTTTTGTCATTATTTTCTCTGATAGCAACTTCAGGATCAACAGAAATCTAGCCACTTTTGCCTTTGATTGATCCTGACAGTCTTCTAAAGCTGCTTCCCCTTTTCCCTCCCTTTCTCAATTGCTTTAGCACTTTACAAACCTGATTTACATGGGATTGGAAGTCACTCAGATCTGCCAAGGCATCCTCTAGCCCCTGGGGATCATGCTCTGCCACAGGGCTCAGAAAAACCACTGAAGTCCCTTAATAACTCCATGGACTCTGCTGGACTAACTACTTTCTTCTCCCCCTCTTTTTATTGGAAGTATATTTTTGCTCACATATTATATCTTGATTACAGTTTCTCCTCACTCTCCTCCTCCCAGTTCCTCCCCTCCCATCCAGATCCTCTGCCTTTCTATCTCTAATTAGAAAAAAACAGGCTTCTAAGGGATAATAATAAAATACAGTAAAATAGAAAATCTAATACACCAGACTAACTAGGATAAAACAAACAGAAGGAAATGTGCCCAAGAAAAGGCACAAGAAACAGATATACACACAGAGATCCATTCATTCACTCACCATGGAATCCCATAAAAACACTAAACAGGAAGACATAATATATGTATGAGCAAAAGACCTGAGGTAGAGAGATCAGGGAGGGAGGGAGGAAGAAGAAGAAGAAGAGAGGGGGAGAGGGGAAAGAAGGAGGGGGAAAGCGAAGCCTAATACAAAAATATGAGACAAGGAACCTCCAAAGATGCTGTTGAGTTTATTTTCTGTTTTCAATCTAGTGCTGGTCAGGCAGCCTACCCTTAAGAGTAATTTGTTTCCTCAGTGATACTTCCTTGGATAAAATTAAATTTTCATGTGTGTGTTATTATCAATTGGACACAGATTTGGGGTTAGGGGTCCATTTCTCCTTTCAGCTCTAGAACCCTATTTAACAAAGCCTTGTGCAGGTCCTGTGCATGCTACCTCAGTCTCTATGAGTTCATATGTATGTTGATCTGTTGATTTAGAGAGCCTTGTTTCCTTGGTGTTTTCCATCCCTTCTAACTCTCATACTCTTTTCTCCTTTTCCATAGGGTTCACTGAGCCCTAAGGGGAGGGATCTGATGGAGTCTTCCCATTTAGTGCTTAGTGTTCTGAGGTCTCTACTCTGCATTATGTCTGTCTGTGGGTCTCTGCATGTGTTCCCATCTGTTGCAGGAGGAAGCTTCTCTGATGATGCTTGAGCCCAGGACACTGATCTATGAGTATAGCAGACTGTCATTAGGAGCCACTTTGTTGCTATTTTCTTCTAGTACAACAGTGAACTTGGTTTTACCCTACCTAGGTCCTTGGGCTATCTAATTTCAGGTTCTTGGTCACCCAAGCAGGGTCAGGTATTGGTTTCATCTTGTAGAGTGTGTCTTAAGTCATTTTTGTTCTGCTAGATTGGAAACCAAAAATTGTCTACCATGCTGAGTAATGTCTATCACCCTCTCAGCAATTCCAGTCTTTCATCCCATTCCTCCTAGACCCTGAAATTCATGGAGGTCTTAGCTGGTGATGACCAGTATCTAATGGTTCATCTGAGCCAGTCCATCAGGTACTGCTTTGTCTTGTACTTTTCAGGTTGTGTGACTTTTGTCTCAAGGGGTAACAAGTAGTTATATTATTCAGTTTGCCTCCTTCCATGATATTCAGACTTGTATCATCCACCCCCAATTTTCTACAGTCTCAGGAGCCAGAGGAGAGAGGTCTTTCATTTTTCATCTTAAAACCTTTTGCAGTTCAAAGAGTTCAGAAGCAGAATACTTTGTGGTTTCCTGCACTGAGGAATATGTAAGTCCCCATAAGCACCCGATTCAAGGATTATATCTTCTGCTGTGTTAAAGGTCAGACCTGTTGAATATCTTCTATAAGTTCTGTTTCAGTTCCTTCCTTCTCACCATTGTGGTTCTTCTCATAGATTTCAAGTGTTCAAATAATGGGAGAGGCTCCTTAGCAAAAGTGTAATTAGAACTCCTTCTTCTTGCCCCCAAGTTATAAGAAATTATAAGCCAGGCCCTGCATCTCAAACTCTCATCAGAAGATAATGCAGATGATGCTAGCTGTATGTCATTTTCTCATTGAAAGGCTTTATTTCTACTTCATACCAGAATGTTGCATATGTACAGTGGGCCTGACATCAGTTTTATTATCTTATAACCATTGCAATGGCCTGCTAAAATTTAATCCCATGTATACCAGTCTCAGGAATTACAATATAGTCCCTAGTCCTTCAACCAGTCTCAATTTGTCCCTATACTCAAGCAGAAGACATTGATCATCAGGGAGAGGTGACACTCTATACCACATATGATAATAAGGTCACCCTGGGCTACCTTCTCCCATGAATACCACACTTTCATATGGCTCAACCCACAGAAAATGTGGTTCCACAGTAATTCAGCCTTAGTTGGTTATCTTACTACTCATGGCAAGGATCACACAATGCTCCTTGTAAAATGTCTTTACTTCTATTTATCTGCATACTTGTTAACATTTTATGTTACTCTTCCTGGGGAGACATTAACAGATATCTGTTCATTCCACAAACAGTACCAGTGACTGACCACAGAAACCATTCTACCTACCCAATACCAATTTGATGAATCAATGACTTTGGTTTTCTACATTAGTTACAGGACTGTGGATGACTCATAAACCACTGCATCACCACAAATTCCCACCCCATCACAGATGATGACTTTAGAGAAGCTGCTTCATGAATTTCTGTCTTCTGTTAGCCTTTTCCTATTTTTCTCTAGCACCTTCAAAAATCATGTGTGGTAGTTAGCATCACAGGAGAAGCTTCTGTGCCCTATCACTTCTACTAGAGTGTAAATAGCACCATTCCTGTTAACATAGCTCTAGATGTTGCTGTATTATTCTGCTTATTTCATTGCCATAGCTATGGGTCAAAAGTTATCTCTTCTTCATGATAGTGATGGGATAAAGTCATTCGGGACCATGCCCAGTGGTCCCAATTTTACTGCATCAGCTATCATATCATATCTATAATATGGTTTATAGTCATGTCTGTTCCAGAACCACAGCAAGATTGTGGGCTTCTCTGTGCTTCTATAAATCTACCAATTTCCCTCAAAGAATTCCTAAAAAAGAGGCTACTGTGCATATATAACTCTCCTCTATCTTAGTCAGGAGTTTCCCCCTGCCTTTTCTATTGTGATAACAAATTCAACTTTGCTCATGTTGTTTTGCTGTCAGCTCTCATGGGTCTGTGTTGCTCATCTTTCTTGCATTAATTCATTCACTGTTGTGACAAAATACTTAACAAGAACCACTTAAGGGAGAAGATTATTTTAACTGATTATCAGAGTATACACCCATCTTGGTGGGGGAGGCACGACAGCAGGAAAGGTTCACTGTTACAGGAATGTGCTCAAATGTCAGTAGATAAAGGAGAGAAAAAGGTGTTTCTTAATACTCTCTAAAACACCTAGGTGATTCTAGGAGTCAAATTGACAATGAAGATTAAGCATCCTAGCCTCCATGAAGATTGAGCAAGTTCTTATTATAAAGGAATATCTGTGTGCTTGTACAGTTTTATGGGGCAAGAAAGAGGTCAAGGACATGTGGCTAAGCAATCAGAAGCATAGGGCAGTCCCTGGGGGTGTGTGTGGGAGTCCTGTGAGCCTAGATTTGTTGGGAAGGCCATGAGTTAGATGGATCAGGTAAGCTTTCAGTATCAGATGACCTCTGAGTGAAAAAGTTGAATGAGTTAGCATTATAGATCTCCTTGGTTCTGTATCACTATCACTGAAGAACTATGAAGAATACAAATCTGGCTACTTCTGCTCTGGGAATTAGGGTCATATAAGCATGCTTTTCTGTCACATGTTCAGATGTTCAGACATAAAATGTAGTCAGGGTTGATTTGTTGGAAGATTCTAAAAGGTTCTATATGTCTTTGACTTTGGGCAACACTGATTTTTTTTTTTTTTTTTTTTTTTTTTTTGAGTGCTAACTCAAGGACTAGGGCTCTAGATGTTTTCCTCATGGAGGAGGCCTAGAGGTTTCTGCTTAGTACAAATGAAAAAAGGTGGGGTTAGGGATTTCGTTCAGTGGTAGAGTGATTGCCCAGCAAGCACAAGGCCCTGGGTTTTGTTCTCATCTCCGAAAAAAAAAAAAAGAGACAAATGAAAAAAACATAAAGTCATGAGGAAACAAAGACCAAGGGAATTAGAGAGTTAGATTCATGATTTTCAGTGAGGCTCCATGTGGAGTGAATGAGTACACTGCACAGCCATTTTAGGGTCTTCATTTTACATTTTTATAATATTCTAATCCCTGGTTCTTAGATGCAGCTTACCCCATTTTCCATTTAAAACAAACCCCACAATATTTCCCTTGGGATATTTTTCTTGTAACTATCAAACAATATTGTAGGAAAGTTAACTGGAGTAGACAGAAATAAGGAGGCTTGGTTGTTAAGAGAGTACTAACTTTGACTTTCTATCTAAAGATCTGAGGTTCTTCTACAAAAGATGATGATGTGGCTTAGGTTAGTCATAGAAGTTGTTTTACAGCTTCATTCTTTATTTGATCCATTCACTCATCTATTTTACAAACGTGTGTTGAATATTGTGCTCAGTTTGGCAGCTCATATACAAATATTGAAATGACACAGAGAAGATTAACATGGGCCCAGTGCAAGGATAACAATGCAAATTTGTGATTTTCCATAATTTTTGTATTTCAATGAAAGAGAAAAAAATCTCATAAAATAAAAACTGAAAATGTGGAGTTACACATAACAAGTAAACTTATTAATGCTAGCTACATAGTAGGATGGAGATATAAATACACACACACACACACACACACACACACATATATATATATATATATATATATATATATATATATATATATTTGTGGAATTCATAGTCTATCAGGAGTGATGGATGGTTTGCTTTTTTCAGTCCTAGGAAATAATATTAGCTGTACCATGTAAGTGCTCTATCACTGAACTATACCACCAACCTTAAATGGACAGTTTAAACAAATGTGTTGTTTTTCTAATAAAGAAGTAAAGTATCATGGATAATGATGCAAAATATGCCTTTTTAGGAGATGAACTCAAATGTTGATTTGCATATTGTACTCTTGGCCTGCTAAAGCCATAGAAGAATATTCTACCATTCCCTGAATAGGTACGGGAAAAAGAGACAATATGGTGGATTGGCAAGGTGCCTCAACAAGTTAGTAACCAAGCCTGAGAATCTTAGTTTAGAATCCTTCAGACTCACATGGTGGAAGTAGAGAACTAATTCTTTCAAGTTGTTCCCTGACCTCCACATGTACATCATTAGCATTTGTGCACATTCCTGCACATGTGGGATATATATATATATATATATATATGAAAAAATGGTAGATTTAAGGAAAACAGTAACTTCCGCATGACCAGGGTTGAGAACAGTGCCAGAACTCAAGGCTGAATAAGAAAAGATGATCTGGCTTATCAAGTATCTGGTATGATGTATTAGGATTTTGTGATGTGTAGGCCCCCATTTCAGTTAGGTTAAGTGTCTTCCTAGCCATCTGTGTTACTTTTATACTGAAGATACCAGAGGTGTAAGCTCATCCATTACCAAAGCCCAGTGTCTTTAAAACTCTCACTTACCTCCCAAATGTCTCTGGCAATTGTGATGTCTGGGCTTGGCTCAGCTCTTCTGGCAAAAGACATAAACACTTGTCTTCCAGACTGGGCTCAAAACATGTCTCCTTGCCTTCTGGGAGAATTGCTGCTTGAGACATCTAATTTTACAGATCATGGTTTTGGAGAAAAATAAGTCACCCCAGAAGTGAGTAGGAAATTATTCACTTTTGGAGAGATAGAAATGTCAAGCCAGATTGATCAGTCACAAAGCTAGACTCCCAGGCAGCTCCATGAGAGAGCAAGGAACCCCAGAACCCTCTGCTCCCAGTCCATCCCAGGATGTGCTGACTTAGGAACTGGATGATGCTTGTCACTGGGCTCTCACCTTAGAGCCATTTCTCATGCTGCTGCCTCTCTTTTTTCCCTAGACAACTATTACAATCTCCTATTTTAAATATAGCTTCCAAGGATGCCTTTCTTGAACCACAGGTGACTCAGAAGAATATATGAATCATGTGCTTCCTGAGCATATTTTAACACAATTATCACAATACCAATATTGCCATTTTGTAAGTATGATATAAATTTAATTTTATACCCAGTTTAATATCAGTTAAAATATTCAATGATTGGTAATTAATTTTTTTTAGATTAATAGACTGATGAGATAATTAGTGGATGGATTCTTGGGCTTAAAGAGTCTTCTTGTTAAACCTTTGGCCCCAAATCATTCTGAGTTTTTAAGGAATGAGTATCTAGAATAATAAGATGTCAGGACTAGAAGAAACTTAGGCTATGGATAAGTGATGGATTCCACAGACTGGCCATCAGAACACTTCCTTTTTGATCTGCAAGGATAGATAGAAACATAAGAAGAGTGTGTAGCTTAAATATGCACAGGTGATGCTTTGTTGTTGAAGAGATAAGGAGACATTTTGGAGCCTTCTAGAGGAATTAGGTATAATCTGGAAGAGAAGTCTTATAGCTTAAACACTTCCAAGGAATAGCTAAGAGATGGGAAGTTCTGAGGTGGTCTGTCTTCTCATTAGAAGGTTATTTTTATTTGTTGATGTATGTCTTAGTTGTATTATGTGTATATAGTGTGTTAATTTTTTAGTATAGCTCTGTGCACATATACATATAGATTCATGTAGTGTTTCTGTGTGTGTGTGTGTGTGTGTGTGTGTGTGTGTGTGTTTGTGTAGACCAGAATTAGAAATTGGGTATCTTCTTCTGGCTTGCTTTCCTTTATTTTTTGAAATATATTTCCTCACTGTACCTGAATTTCATCAATTTGGCTAGACTGGCCAGTCAATGACTTTCAAGAATCCCCCGGCTTTACTCACCTTCCCTTTCAGGAAGGTTAAAAGAATAGGACAACTTTCCCAGTCTTTTTTGTTGGTTCTGGGGATTCAAACTCAACTCATGCTTGATGTTTCCACCACCCCCTCTATCTGCTCTTGACATCTTCTTACAGCATTGCCAAATGCATTGACAGGTGAACCTTGCCTGGTCAGCTTCCCTAATGGAGGAAACCCTATAGTACAGGGCAACTTAGTCTCAGCTGTAACAGTTTGTTGTACTGTGCACTGTTTACTGTTAGGCCTTAAAAAGGCATATCATACTCTCTAAATGCTAGTTCACCTGTCTTTCAATGATGACAACTGAAATTGGCTTCAGACAATGGCCAATTTCCTTGTGGATAGAAAGCAAAACCATCCTTAATTCAGAACAACTGACTTAGAACCATCCTAGCAGGATGTGGGCATCATTACAGTGTACAGCTATTGATTTTGTTTGTGATCCATTTTGTTTTCTTGTCAAACTAAAACAACACAAACCCAAATAAATCTACCAGTCATTTTCTTTTTGGAATAGTTTCTTCCACTCCTCCAGAACATTCAGATCTGATAGGCCTTTTTCTGAACACAAGGGGACAGAAAACCTCTGGCTATGGACTTTCAAAGAAAAAAGTAACTCTCTGGAGATAACAAATAGCTGTTTTATCAGAGTTCATCTCAAATAGGTCTAATGTAGGAGAAAATAGGCCAACATTGTGAGATTTCTGAAAATGCCATCTGAGCTCTTGGATTAAGCTAGTCTCAAAGTCAAATTATCTAAATATAAAAAGAAGTCCCTGTGCTTGTTAGTTGATTTTAGCTGCATCTTTACAAGTTACAGCCAGAGAAAAGGTATGAGTTTAAAAAAAAATCACAATACACACACACACACACACACACACACACACACATAATTTGCAGCTACTTCTCAGAATGAATGAAGAATGAAGATGAATCTGTTCCTTTCATCACAATTTAAACTTACTGGCTTTTCAAGGTATTGAAATAGATACATTTGCTAAGGTTTGAGCTCCCCAACCTCTGGACTTGCTCTCCAAGAATTTGTTTTCCATGAAAGGTCTTTGTTAGGCACGGATATCCAGGCTTCTAGTTTGATAGTTCTGACTGCCTACAGAATATTTCCCAGTGCTGGAGTCAAACACAGAAGGCTTTCACAATCAGGCTTTACAGGACGCTTGAAGCTAGGGTGTTTAGAACTGTTTCCTGGGGGTCCTGCAGGACAGCACCCAGACCTTAGCACACTGCCCATAGCTGGGTACTGTGCAAGCTTGAAGTGAGTCTTTGTTGGATACACAAAACAAACAGAAGACTGCCATGTGTCTGCTGTCTGTGAAGAAGAGACATCTTCCTAAGTAGGAGCTCATTTTCCTGCATTTCTGAATGTATTTTTTTTTCTAGTGAAAAATGACTAGAAATAGATCTGGTGGTGCTCGTCCAAATTGTACCTTCATCTAGTTGAAGGAGGCCTCTGATTATTGTCATCCTCCAGAAAAGGTCATTGCTTGTCCATCCTTGGATGCAACCCCAGAATTGCATTTATCAGTCTACCATCTCCATGTCCCCAAACATTCTATGGAAACCTCATTTGAAGGCCTTTCTTATCAGTGAATACTATTTCTTTGATGATTCGTTTGTCTCTGGCCTTAGATTTGCCCTTCCTAGAGTGCAAGCAAAATCAACTTATTATTGTTTTTACCTAGTGTCTAAGCTGGGGGGGGGGTGCATGCCTTATACCCAATGACTGAGGTAAATTGTGATGTTGGATAAACAAAAACTAAAGGTATAAAGAATTCACTCTGGCAATAGTAAAAGTCACCATGCCTGACTTATGAACAAACACGTTGAAAAATAACCAGACTTGGGTTCAGATCCTAATACATGAACTTGCCAGCTGTGTCATAGTAGCTGTAGCAGTGGTGATTGTAGCAGATGTTCCACCAAGTGGCTACAGTAGCAGCAGTAGCAATAGTGGGAATAGCTGTAGCAACTCTATAAGCAGCAGAGATGATACCCATAGCAAGAACTATCAATTACAAGGCATTTTACACAGAGAAATTTATTTTTTTCTCTCCATAACTATGGGGCAGGGCTTCTTGTCTATTCTCTTGCACTGTAATGTCACTGAGTATTGTGTCTGAAATATGGAATGTGTAGAGTATATATTCTTGAAAAAGATGAATGATTCCATAAAGTGGGCATTATTATTATTACCATTGAAGAGATGTGATCACTGGGGGTAAGAGAGTTTAATGAGAAAAACTATAATTATGGTTTCATGTTCTTTGTAATTGTGTGTTAAAAAAACAACGAACATCTGTAAAATGATTACAATGGATATAATCTGAGAGATTTAATTTAGTAAAAACTTTAAAAGTTGAGTGTTTTCATGAGTCTGAAGCTAGAAGTACCAAGCTGAGTCAGAGGGACAGAGGTAGATGGTAGCTAGTCATAGCTCCTTCAGGGAGCTGACAAGGAATATCAAAGGAAAACTATTCTCATTCCTGGTAGTGCCTCCCAGATTTCTGTTCTGGAAAAGATTCAATTCCCTTTATGTGAAGGTCCATCGAACATTAGAAAGTATGTATTTTAGGCAGTGAAACAAATGCTTTCATTTGTGTGACCCACACTTAGTTCTCAGAGGAGTAGTCAGACTTTTTCTCCACTTTTCAGATGAGAAAATAGAAGCATAAAGGGAATAATTTACATTTAGTGAAAAAATGATAGTGTT